AAAATAAAAAAAAAAAAAAAAAAAAGAAAGAAACCTTAACTCCTAAACCCTAGACCCGACCGTGCACCACTCATCCTAGGAATCCCTTCTTCAGTTTTTGCCGGTTGGCCTGCGCCTACCTGGGCTCGTTGAGTGGGTGCTGCGGTACACCCCCAAGGCCTGGCTGAAAAGATAGCAAATTGCAACAATATTCATGAGACTAACAATTGTAATAATAGCAATTATAGGAATAATAGTAATAGTAATAGTAGCAATAATTTATAGTAATAGTATTTTTTGTTGAAGAAAAAGCCAACAAGGAATAGTCAACATGCTTGAAACATAGGGCACTGTAGTTGCTGGTGGATTGCGGGGTATGAGAAAACTGGTCATACCGAGTATCATTACGGGATTATACGGGGGGCCACTATGCGGCTCAAGTTGCCAGCCGCCAGCAACTAGGCTGGGCTGTAGTGTCTGAAGTGCGTAGGGGTTAAGGCTGCGCTGGCTAGCTGTTCGTTCGGAAATGATTCAGAAATCTGGGTTGCTGTTACGGAAGTCAAATTAAGTAACCACAATCGGTATAAGATATAGCAAATGATAGGGTTTCCCTAATATAGTAATTCAGATTCAGTTCCCGAACAGGAACCCAGAAATGCGGTCTATGGAGTGCCATTAGCCCTGCGTTGAGGAGCAGCGGCTTTCCTCGCAAAGCATGTCCGCATCAGCGGCTTGAAAGCAAAACACTTAAGTTGCGTAGCCTGAAAAGTCAAGGGCCACTTGATACGCAAAGCAGGGCCACTGATCTTGACAACCACCGCGATTCTAAAACCTAGAGCCACCGCAAACCTCCGCAATGCAAGAATCCTTGTGACGGAATTGCTCAAAACCGGGCCCTTCATTTCCCTAAACCCTGAACCTGAAACACCAAACCATGAACCATAAACCATAAACCGTGAACCCTGAACTCTAAACCCTAAACCCGGGTGATGCCAGGCACACGGCGTGTCCTTGTCCACCATGTTCCGCAATATGGCAGAGTCAATGGCTCAAAGTGCTCTTCTCCTCTCTGCGCTGCGTTACAGGGATTATAGGTGTTGTGGGGGTTCTCGGAGCTTCAGAGGATTCTAGGGGTTATGGGATCATAGGGGATTGCAGGGGGTATGTTGGTTTTAGGATTTCGGGTTTAGGGTTCATGGGGACTGTCTGGGGTTTAGGGTGATCCGGGGTGTGTTTCGTGTTTCTCCCGAAGCTGCTTGCCCGGTCTACAGGTTCCTTAATTTGGGGCTTACCAGGGTGTCCAGGGTTTACTATCAGCCAGGTCGGAAGATGAGCACAGCATAGCAACCCCAGAGGAAACCGCGAACCTTCAACTCGGAATGGCAGCGCATTGTGCTTCCAAGAATTCACCATAACCCCTCTAATCACTACAGTCCCTCATAACCCGTGAAGGGTATCCGAGCCTCTACCAAAAATCCCTGCAAAGGGTCCCCAAGATCCCTAAACCCTAAACCCCTAACCCAGAAAGGGATAAGTTTGAAGAGCAAGTCTTTGGGATTTTGGGTCTCCGTATGAGCTACGGTCAATATTTAGGCTTACCAAGGGACCATTACGGGTGGACATAGGATCCCTGTTGTAGTTTAGTATAGTCCCTAATATAGCCTCTAATACGAAACCCATGTCAATTTATTGATGAGATGGGGAAATACTGACTGTAGCTCGCATACTTCTTTGGCTCTTTGCAGCTGTAAGCCACAATCACTCAAGGTTGGGAGATGCGGTAAGAGCTCTAGGGCTGGGCTTCATCCAGGCGGGACAAGACCATCGTCGTCATCCAAGATACGGAGGCCCCGCTGCGTCACATGCGTTGTAGTTTAATTTGTTGAGGTAAGCGCCTCGAGGATCCAGGGAGTTCAGTCTGTAGTGTGAAGGACTTAGAGGCCTATGTACCAGTGGTATTTAGGTTCAGTGTTCCAACAACCTGTTGACGGGGGTGGCAGTCAATCCAGGGCTGATGAAAAGAAAATCCTGCTCAGCATATCGCCAGGAACGTCGCCATTCTGTAGGAAATGGTTGAAAGCACAAGATTGAAACTCAATCTGGTTGTATCAGCATGACTTACCCCCAGGTGCATCAGAATCGTTAGAAGTTCTGTGAAGAGTCTCAAGCATTCAGGTTATCTCAGAGCCATGAGACGACATCCTAAGCGCATAAGCCCCGGTCAGGACTTCGTGTTTGGCGGCTTTGCCACTTCCGCCTGGCAGCCAGCTGGCAGGCCCTCAATCAGACTCCACACGTCAGCTACGGTCAACACTAGGCTCAGCAAGGGCCCATTCAGCATGGACATGGGGGTCCCTTTGGTAGTGTAGTAGAATCCAGTATAAACTCCCTAATAGGAACTCGTGCCCATTGATGGTATGGGAAGTATTGACTCTAGCTCACGTGATGTGTTCTGGGTTGTTTGGGTCAAGGACCCCTTGGCACAGACTGAGGGAAGCAGGAGAAGGACGGCACGTTCAATCCAAAGCTGTAATTATGGTTATGGGATTAATGATTTGATGTGACCAAGTTGACTTCTAGGACCCTAAACCCTAAACCCTAAACCCTGTTTACCCAAGATTTGTCCGAAGAAATTCACATGTTTTGTGTCTCGGACCCACCAGACAGCACCCCCAGGACCGCGAGCATCATGTGAGTTTGTGAAATGGGTTTAGGGTTTAGAGTTTATACTGTAGGGTTTATAGGGTTTAGGGTTCAGGGTTTAAGGGTTTAGGGTTTAGGGATCTATGCCCCTAACATAGAGTATTTCAAGATTATGTCTTTCTCTTGGGTATATAGTCACCCTGAAGTAGATAGAATATGGCTTTGGGTACATTATAAACAAGATCCCTGTATACCCCATATTCTATCTGCTTAAGGAGGACCCCAAACCCTAAATAGTAACTTCCATGTTCTTCCATTATCCCATATAACCCTACTATTCTATCTACTTAAGGGGACAAGAAAGTACTATGCTTGGTTCATGTTCATCGACTAAGGATCACTGCGGGTGGTTCTCAGAATTATGGGCCCCTTGTTGGTTACAGATTCTATTACGGCACCTGGGATTTAGGGGTACCAAAATGAGACCCTAAGCTAGGAAACCAAAAAAGCGATAAACCCCTGTATCATTTAAATGTCCAGTTCATTTTCCATTGTCTTTTCCATTTGATTCTCCATTAATGGAGCAATTTTCGGAACTACACTAATGTGAATCATTGCGAGCTGCCAGGTTCTACGGATCTGGAGAGGCGGGGTGGGAGTCTGAGTTTTATAATTGCCGCGGTCTGAGTTTTTTGGGGTTTCTTCAATGCAAGGAGCCTCGTATGATATGGTGGGCCTGTTGAATGATCCTCCCTTGAAGGACCCTAAAAGTGCTGGAAGTGGTCCTTTGGAGATCCCGCCTGCCTGCTTGAGCCTTCCTGAAGCCAAACTGCGCCAGGCTTTTGTCTTTTCCTTTGGGCGCAAGACTGACAAGCCAGCAGAGGCGCCTTGAAGGTGTTTGTGTTTGGCACTTCTTTTTTGTTCAGTGTTCTGCTCATGATGCAAGGTGCAGTTCTACCCCTGGTCTTCTGAGAACGCGTTGGGTCCTCGGAACCCCCTGGGGCGGCTGCTTGCAGTCCTCCGTTGTACACAGAACACATCTGACGTCTCCACTGAGGTGCTGCATGTACGCAGACAAGTCCATGTTTGGAATGGGTGGTGGAGAAGGAGCTGGCATCCACACCGACATCAAGCCAGATAACATGGGAGACTTTAAACCACAAATGACAAGCCCTACAGGGCCGCATCAGCATCGCCTAGCCTGAAGTCCTTGGAAAGCTCGCTTTAGAGCCTCTATTTAATTTTGATGGAGAAAATCTTGCACCACCGTGTATTCCTAGACTAGCTTACTTCCCCGGATTTCAGATGGATGATTTCTTCCACCAAAGATATGATGAGAGTGTCTTAAAACAGCCCCTTCACATTTCTTGAAGGGGACCTTCCATAGCGCGTACATAATCCCCATAAACCCTAATCTCTGCGCAAGGAAAACTTGCCTTTGTGATCCAATCGGACCTACTGCCTGGGCCTGAGGTAGGCTTGCTGGGTTTAGCAGCCAGACCTCTGAACATGGTTATCGCGTAAGAAAAACTATAGTGACAATTTCGGGTGCCGTTTGAGTTCTTAGGGCTTAAAGTGCGGGCTTTGGGGTTTAAGGTCTGGGCTTTGGCACACTCTTTGCTGAAGGTTGTCAGGAATAATGGCTTTTTGCAGAGGCCATGGCTCTTCTTCGATGCAACCAGCTGCAAGCACTGTTGTGCGAAAGCTGAAGCTCAGGCAAGGGCATTCTTCTCCAACCGTCACCTTCCAGCTGTGGCCTCAAAGCTTGCAAAGCAGCATGGAGCCAGGGTTTAGGGCTCATGGTTTGCAGACTATAGCCATAGGTTTGCAAGTGCCGGCTATGAAATACTCCTAGGGCAAAGTTCAAGGACTCTTATTCTGCGATGGTGCTGCGTGCTGGAAAATAGAATGGAAACTACTATAGTATAATGGGGTATATACTGGGGTCATATAGGGATAATGGAAAAGAAAATGGAAACTACTATAGAATATAGGGATGAACACCTTACTTGCATATTGCATATCATCCAGTTGTTGTTATCTCCTTGTCCTGGTAGAAAGCATTCAGGAACCCGACACTCGCTTCGAAGTCGGAGTTCGTGGTGCGCGACATTGAAATGTGCTCTTGCTGAAGTTGGATAGCGGTGCCTCACATGGGCAGCTTTCAAGAACCCCGACTTAATCCTTGGTGAGACCCCTATGATCCCTTTGGACTCACCTGTTATGTTTAGGGTTGTAAGGAACCTTTCTTTTGAGAAATGCGCACATGAGCTTTGGTGTGGAATCCTAAGCTGCATGTTAGAGAGACAGGCAGCTTGTGCCATGGCATGAGGTATGGCACTGGCACGTGAATCCCTAAGGGTTTAGGGTGTAGGGCTCAGGGTTCAGCATCCCCTCTGCAAACCCAGGTTCCACATAATTTGCCAGTATCTTTTCGGTGTAACTCTACATTATTCTGATCCTAAACTCCTTCAACACCGTTCCATTTGAGCATCATTTTTTCTAAGCTGGCCCCCTTATGTCCCCATATTACTCGACCTGGTTCATATATATATATATATATCCGATATACCTACAGAATCCCAATACAATGTCCTTTTATATATACATATATATATATATATGTGTCTACATCTCTCTCTCTCTGTCTCTCTCTCTCTCTGTGCTACGTGCTCTACTACTAAAGGGCAAGGCTTAGCTTTCAGCCCTTCCTCAGGCCCAGCGCCCGAACTCCCTGTAAGAAAGGTATAAGGATGATACAGGGATGGGGACATGGGGGTGTATAGGGATTATTATATCGGGGTTACGTAGGTAGAGGGGGTCTTAAAGTAAGACTATACTATAGAACGACATGAAAATTCACTGGAAAATGGGATGGATACCAGGGCTATATAGGGGTTACTGACCTGAGGTGGTCCATTGAGACCGTGTAGAGTCACCGCGGCGGAGTCGACATCATCTCCATTGCAGACATCGAGGCCCACATTTGACAAAGCTGTCGCAGGGGTGTGTGTGGGCCACATGCTTGGATGAGACCTCATCCGGAACATGGTGGTGGTATCTGCAACTAAGTTCCTATGGGCTTTGTAGACTTACGGTGCTCGAACCCACATGTTCTAGCCTCCTCTCCATATGAGCTAAAGTCGAAACTCCTAGTGCCCCCCTTAATAAGCCCTGTAATACTCCCCTACATAATCCCGTATACGATCCCGTGTAAGGAGTTGAGACTAGAGCTCATATGGCTTTCACATCTTTGGATGGCTCTTTCAAGGTCTCTTGAAAAGAGTGCCTGAGCACTTCTTAGCTGTAACCTGCGAAGCCTTGACCGAGAGACCGTGAATTCTGATGGACATTGTTAATACCCATACACTCCCCCAAACTAACATGGAAACCCATATAGCCCCCCTTTGAGGGGACTGTAGTCTTTATAGGGCCCTTTTTGGGTTTCCATGTTAGTTTCGGAGTGTAACTTCTATGGACAATCAAATAGAACATAAAACGGAAAGTGAAATGGAAGCTGGGATTATATAGGGTTTTGTCATTATTGGGATTGGGGTTTCCCAAAATCAGGGGTCCTTTTTTAAAGTCCGTATGATAAGGACTAGCATTTTGGGTCTAGGGTCTCAGAAGGGTGCCGCCGTTTTGAGAGCCTCCACCCTGTCCTAGATTAGCAAGCCCAGGGGCTGTAGCACTGGAACTTTTGAGACATTCAACTGAACCCTAAACCCTGAACCGTGCGGTTTAGGGTTCAGCGGGACAGGTTGTCATTCCAACTGAACATGCTGTTGTTCCACTGCAGCAGCATTCTTGCGGGGTTCTTACTCGAGAAGACTACTTGGAGGGTCATGGGAACTTGGTAAATAGGTTAATAATTGGGATAATTGGGGTTATTCTATGGCTCCAAAGGCTCATTTACCTACTTATTAAGTCCCCATGACCCTCCAAGTAGTCTGCACCCTAAACCCCAAACCTCGGAGCTTCAGGCAATCCAGCGCCCAACAGCCAGCCGCCGGTACGTGCACGTGCCCAGCGAACCTCTGCGGCCGAAGATGGCGTCTGGGTCGCTGCTAAAGGTTTAGGGTTTAGGGCAAGGCTGATGAGGAGCTTAAACTAAGCTACCAATCTGTGGATATGTGATAGACCATGTGGTTTCTTTACATGGGTAACCTAGCTCAGGTCCTTACATCCCGATATGACCCCTACATGCCCTCAGTTTCCATGTTCTTTTCCCCTTGATTCTCCTTAGTCTAACCCTAAATTCCTATATCCCTACACTGTCCTCATAGCCATATTGGAAACCCTAAATCCCTTGTATCCCTATGTAATCCCCACATTTCTCCATATCGGTAACACTTGCTCCAACCTAGGAGTTGGCAGAGGTGGCCGCGGAGAACTTGAGCAGCGCTTGACGGAGAAAACACGCATGAGCGGACATGTGATTAGGGCTTCGGGCTTAGGATTCAGGTTGTTAGGATTGAGGGTTCAGGGTTCGGGGCGTAGGATTTAGGGTTCAGGGTTTGGGGCTTCAAGTTCAGGGTTTTGGGTTTAGCTTATTTTTGGGTTCGGGCTTGGGGTTTATGGTTTAGGACAGACATGGTAAAGGGCACGATGTGTCCAGGTCCCTTTTTGGGGATATATGAGCTATAGTCTAAACTCTTTAAAGGGTGATTATTTGGGCGCTTATTTTGGATTTAGGGTTTAGGATTTAGGTTAGGGTTTAGGGTCTAAACTCCTTAGATGGGATTATATAGGAAATTCTCCAGAGAAGTTTTATAGGGTTATTAAGTTGGATGCTATCCCGCAGACTACTTTAAAGGTGGGGACCACCCGAGGCCGGTACCACATCAGGACCCCAAATTCTAAAACCAACTGGAATCGCGGGTGGGCATGGGCTCCAGCATTAGGGTCTAAGAGATTGCAGGTTTGGCGATATCTCCCCACCCGCAAGGCAGCATGGTAGGGTAACATGTCATGGGAGAAACTACCATTCGGGGGGCCCAGTATAGACCCCAAAATACCATGATCCTTACCATGGGGAAGGTACCCCCAATTTTGGGAACCCTAAACCCTAAACCCTAAACCCTAAACCCCATCCCTTGGAGGAACTCCAAGTCTATCGCGTGGGCCTCCCAAGGTAAGATTTATTGGGCACTCTGGGGCACTTTTGCGTGCTGTTGTCATCATATGAACGCTGTTTTTGGCTCTTCTTGCTGCTTTGGTTAAGTGATAGCTTTGCTATCGAGGTGGTCCTATTTGTTCCTACCCAGTGATGGACACCTGCTTGAAAGTCGGTTCTTCATGCTAGTCAGTGATTATTAACAATGCTGCTGGACAGCTGGCTGCTCTACCTCTTAGAGTTTCTCAAGATGATCCCTATGGAATCCTGGAGGTCCAGGATTTAGGGTTTAGCCCATCCAGAAACCCCTCGTTCCTGCAGGGTAGATCTTAATAAGCTCATACCTTGCGCCATGCCCAAAGACGCTTCGGGCAATTTGGTGGTTGGGGAGCCCGAAGCGACGGCCACCAGGGCCGTCATCTGGCTGCACCTGGGCCTGCATGAGACATCATATGAGCTATAGTCTAAACTCCTTAAAGGGGGCTTATATAGGGAATTATATAGGGGACTGCAATAGGGCTTATTAAATGGGATACTAAGAGTTTAGACTATAGCTCGTATGGCCGGTTGTCAAAGTTGTGGTCCCTCTTTTTGGGCGGTACTCTACATATACAGTAGGAGCTGCAGTAGAATGTTTTGACAACCCTCCTGTGGGGTCTTGGGGTCTAATTAGGGTCAAGGTTTTTAGTTAAGGTTTAGGGTTACAAGGGTTCAGGGTTAGCGGCTTCTTTAAAATTGGTTGCACTTGATCGCATTGGGACTATGTGGGGACTAGCCGCGTCTTGGTTAATTAAGGATGAATTTCAACAAAGAGTATACGGGATGATTTTTTTACAGGGATGGCGTCACGTTTCAGACATTGTGTGCCAGCACCTTCTTTGGAGCCTTGTTTTGGCAGAGGCTCGCTTCACTCCGTGTTGGGCCCATATAATGGTTCGGGTCGCTTTGGGTTAAGTAGATGACCAATAACTTATGCAAGCATTTGCTTGGGAAGGGCCCGTGCACCTTTTCGAACTAGTGCAACGATCGGTCGATAGTTTGGTCAAAGCAGCAGCCAATCTGCTATTTCCGAGACAGCTGCACACTATGAATGGCTTTCACTTCCAATGTCTGTTTGGGCTCCTTACCTGAAAGCAATGAATGTCAACATGAGCTATAGTCTAAGCTCTTTAAAGGGGGTCAAATACGGGACTATATGTGGACTATATGTGAGAGTATCATGTGCATATTAAGGGGGGTAGTCGGAGTTTAGATCCTAAACTCTAAACCCTGTAGTATAGGTTATCAAAAGGGATTCTACGAGTTTGACTATAAACTAAAACTCCACATATAGACCTCTCTGGAGACGCAACTACAACCCAGACCCAGAACAACAAAACTGGACGAACCCGAACCTTCCTTGTCTTGCCAAGTAAACCATAAGTAGGGTTTTAGGGTTTCAGGGCTTCACAACTTTGGGGTTTAAGGGTTCTAGAGCTATTGGGTTTTGGGGTTTAAAGGGTTTAGGGTTTAGGGGGCAAGAACCCTGATGAAACCTTTCCTCGGAGCAAGCTGTTCTGAATTTCTACCTGGAGCCTTTCAAAATCAGGGGTCCGCAACAAACAATAACCCTGATTTTAGGGACTTCCAAAATGGGACCTCCAATTTCTGGTGCTCCTACGGAGAAAGCAGTATCATATCTCTGTTTCCATTTCATGTTCCACTTACTTCGCCATTTGATTCTCCATCATTCTAAGTATTTGTGCCCTTAAGCCCAATAAGATCCTCAAATTCCCATGCATTGTTCTTATATCCTGATACAATCCCTTTTAAGATACAGGTTGGGTACAGCCCCCACTCTGCAACCAGCTGGATTCTATTTCATAATCGTGTTATTTTGCCCTTAATATGAGCCCTAAACCCTAAAGCCCTCTTAAACCTTAAACCCCCTAAACCCTAAACCCCTAACCCCTGGGTGCGGGCAGCAACCAATACAGGCCCCCAAAATGAAGCTGGTCGTGGTAAGGGATTATAACAGCACCCCTCCCCAAAGGTGGCCCCACCCGATTTAGAACCCTATTAGGCCTTATTAAGCAATATATAACCCATATTGGCTCCCTAAACCCTAAGCTCTAAACCCTAAATCCTAAACTCTAAACCCGAAACTCTAAAACCCGAAACCTTAGCCTGGTACTATAGTAACCCCTTAGGGTTTCGTTCCAGCGAGGCACGGCTTCGGCGATTCCCCTGAGGGATGGGCAATGGCCTGGCAACCTCTACAAGGTCCCTTTGTTTAGGGTTTGGGGTGTAGGTTTAGGGTTCAGAGTTTAAGGCTTGGGGTTTAGGGCTTAGGGCTTAGAGATTTTGTTTAGGGGTTGTTCTGTTTGTTTCTTCGTCTGTTACTCTATGCGTTTGCTTCTGCTGTTGCGTTTTCTTTCCTCCAAGTTGTTTCGGGTCTATGCCTGAGGCTTTGAGAGTTCAGGACTTTGGCATTTAGAGTTCAATTCCAAAAGGGAAGGCCAAGCTGTTGAATAGGGTGCAGGGTGTTGTAGGGTTTAGGGTTCAGGGGCCAGGGTTTCAAACTGACCTGCGATCTTAATGAAGCCTAAACTAGTTCTCAAAAGCAGGGACCTGAGGGGGATGTGGGGATGGTGAGAGGATTAGGGGGGCAACCCTTGGGGAACATATTGCAGTTGGATCCAGGATTGAGAACACCTGGTCTCAAGGGCGAGCCCGCCGCGACGGGCCTAGCCGATCATTACAAAGCCCGAACACAGAACAGGTTTGTTCATCCAGGTCAACATCTGAAGGGTTTCAAGGAATCAGGAATTGGACACA